GACGTTGTACGTTGCTAGGCATTGCATCATTCAATATGGCGACCTTACGTATTGCCATTTAGTGCGCCAAATATCTTAAGTATAAAAATCGCTCTGCCACCACAGGCAATACATCCTTACGCTTGTAAGGTAGGCCTATATTACTAAATTTCGCGGACACCGTGAGCCCCGCCATTTTACTTACAAAGGAAATAAAGGTTCGGGCCATACTACGCACTATGCCGCTGCACTCTTTCCTACCAGAGTGCTGGGTATGGTCTTCATTCGCGTCAAAAAAATAATCAATTATTTTAATCAAATTGTTGTTTGGTACGGCTGTAATGCGCGGCGATTGCATTTCCCTGCCGTTCTGATCATTTCAAGTCTTATTAAAATATATGCAGATCAATATCACGCCTAATTGTTTTAATACAAGGATTGGTTGATTGATCCGATTGCATTTGGCATTAACTATATATGCCAAGATATCTTATATAGAATAGTTATTATTCCATCGATAATATTAAATCGAAATCATTCATATATAAAATCATTAATCTATCTAAAAAAATATTCGATCAAAAGTATTTCTATAGTTTTAAAATCCAAATCAATTATTTTAGGAAAATTATATATATAATATAATCAATAAATTCAATTATCATTAAATAAATATATATATATATTTAATTGGAAAATAGTATTCTAAATTGATATAAAATAAATTAAATCAATATTATTATAAAAATTATATAAAAAGAAATGCCAAAAATAATATAGCTAAAAATTTAATAATTAAAGAAAAAAATGAAAAATAATAACAATAAAATTAATATCATAAAATATGCAACGTGATATTAATAATATCGAAATATATATTCATTCAAAAATAAAACAGCGATCAAAAGATCAAATATATATATATATAACTATATAATAATTCTCAACGAAAATAAAAACTAAAAATACAATATTTCAAACCCCAATATCATATCTCTTCATAAATTCATATAATATCCCTATTTAAAAATATTCAACACCACCCATTATAGCCATATATATATTAATTATTCATCCCCCCAAAAAAAATAATAATCTAAATTATATAATCGAAATTCTTTTAATAATTTATCGAAAATCCTATCCAATATAATCAAAAATATTCTATTGTACTATTCATAAAAATACATTCCCCAAATCAAATGTATCCCTAGCAGTAATGAAGACCCAAACTAAAATATCCCAAACCTCTCCGGTGTTTCCCTTTGCTTTGCGGTAGCTGGAAAACCAGCCAATGGAAATCTCATTGATCGCAATACTGCCAAAAACAAGCATCATTGAGCGGCCCATTGCTTTAGTGGCAACCATATATCGGTTGTGGCGCAGACTCCGCAATGAAGAGACAAAGGCATGGTCCAGAAACATCCAACATGAATATCCCTGGGAACGTGCAATACCTGGAATTGAATGCTTGTAAGTTGCTCTGAAGAGAGCTTTCATGACGGAATACCATGCTGCTCACAACAAAATTGTCATTTCTGCTCTGCTTGACCTGTCAAATTTTTACGACAGGATCAACTTAGAGTAGCTCGCAACAAGATGGCTGGATTCAAACTACCCTGCCGCCCACGCTGCCATGGCCATGCAGGTGTACAGTGGTCAAAGAATCCTTGAAGCAGAAGGAGAAGCATCACAACCTCTTTGGACCACTCATGGCATCCTGGCTGGAGATCCTCAGGCACCTTTAGCAGCAAAGGTCTATCTGTAATTGAAGCAATTTCACAAAAAAAGATCCCACAATTGCATTCAGACCTCTGGATCGACGATTTCAGCTTTGACGCTGTTGACCGCAATCCACAAAATGCTGCGTATATAGCCATCCAAGCCTACGAAATTGTCAAAGGCGAACTAGAAAAAGACAATCTGAAGGTGCCGGAACAGAAGATTGGTTTCATTGTGTTAAATGCAACCGCCAAGAAGATCCTCAATGATCAGCTACAAACCGGCGGACCCAGAATGCACGATATGATGAGGGATTTAGGCATTGACTGCACAGCAGGTAGTTTACGACGGTTACAAACGATGAAAGTCCGACGCAGGCGAGCTGGCAGAAAGACGGTCAAGCTAGCCCCGCTCAAGATCCCCAACCGGGCCATCAAATTCAAATTATACAAGGACAGCATCATTGCAGGCATCAATTGGGGCCACCAAGCAATGGGTTTAACACCTCAAAACAGAAGGCGGATTCGAGCCACAATGGGAAGACAAATGGGATTGCAGAAGACAGGCAATCTGGACATCATGTTTGACATGAACCCCAAGCACAGAGACCCGGACTTTGCTGCATTCGAAGACCAGGTCAAGGTGTACCACAAATTCCATGGCAATTGGCCGGAGGCACTGGCAAAGGACTTATTAAATAAAGCCTGGCAACTCCAAAAAGAGAAGCTACAAAATGCACAGTACCCATGGCAACATGCTAAGGGCCCAATTGATGCGCTTCAGTGCTATTTGATGGAACGAAGCTGGAATATTGACAGGCATGATAAGTGGACCAAACCTGGACACAATGGTGAACCGGATTTCAAGATCAACATGAACGTTGCCTGGTTTTTCATCCACAAAGAATTCGAGCGAGCTCGCAAGTGGGAGACAGTCATGAAATTAAACAAGAGAACACTCCTGCAAGAGGTCCAGCAGCCTTTGGATTGATTGCCATGGAGGCGGTTTGCAAAAGGGCTCACCAAAGTGCAAAAAACAATACTGCAGACTTGACACCAAGGTGCACTTTTCACCAGGTTGCAGAAGCAGAGGGCAGCAAACAGCTCATGTGCCCGCACTGTGGGATTGAAGCAAATGCAATACATGTTCTGTGGCTTTGCAAGGAGACACAAAAAGCTTTCCCGCCGATGGACTCAGAAGACAAACAAGAGATTGAACAGGGCATCAATCTGGAGTTCTGAGGTCAGGGGCTACTGCAACTCCCTAGATATGAATTGTCGACAGGGGGCGTCGCGGTTCAGACTTGGGGCTCTTGGACCATGCATGATGAAATACGGCTGCAGGGCATCGATGCCGTCACCATCGGCATTGCACAAACAAGTGCTGATCCCCGGCTCAAGCATTTTGTGGTTGCAATAGTTCATCATACTTTGGTTACAGGAGAACTCTACCGCAAAGATGCAGTGACAACGGTGTTACCGGAACAATAGTCGGTTGACCGAGCTTGGTTCTATGGGTTGCGCATGATTGCACATTACGTTGACATGCAGATGCAAATTCGGGTTTAGATCCTCTCCAATAAAGCCTCCCGAGTCCATGGGAAACACCCAGAGATTTTCTATGATCTGCAAATATTGGTCTCGCACGATCAAAGAAGCAGAGTTCGGCCGCTGATTCTCAGCCAGCAGCAAATCAAAGACATGCCGCCAGGGCCGTACACGGTCAAAGCCAGATTGAAGGACGCCACCAAAGTTGCAAAGGAGATTGCCCTTTCCAAAAAGCCAGAATAGGAAGAAGGGCTTCGACTCACTGACCAAAGATATGGTCGCATAGCTGCTTTGACCATCCAAAGGATCCGATATTTGATGGAATCCAAAGATCATTACCTTCACCAAACAAAGGAGATTGATAAGAACAATCGTCAAGATGCTAAAGAAGGAAAGATCAGCTTTTCCATGAGATTGGCAATGCCCAAAGTGCAAACAAGCACCAATGGGCGACAAGGCCCGGAGGCCTGCAATGCCAAGGATGCAATAAATGCATCACCAAGCAAAATTGAAGACCTCCAATGCATCAAAGATGAAGATTGCCCAGCCACGGCAAATGTCGATCTCAGAGGAGGAGGTAGTGAATAGATCCAAACCAAGTCGGAGTTGGTCAAAAATCTCCTTGATGATCAACACCCCCGCATGAATAAGTATCATGTTGCCTTGCAGAATTACGTGGTCTGTATCAATTGCAGTGGCCGCGTTTTGCGAAATACTGCAAGTGAGAAGATTGAAAAGTTTGCGCAATCGACCTATTGGAATTGTATTTGGTAGCCGGAAATTGGCTGGCCATTTGAATCATAAGATGTGGAAAAAAGGGGAAAATTTTTCTGCCAGATTTGCAAGGCACATGCTGTATGCAAGAATGCGCAATTCTTAACCAGCAAGGCCCTCCAGAAAGCATGCAGCAACACCGAACAACAGGTCAGCTTGCGAACTTTGTTTGCCAACCAAAATGATTGATTCGAAGCTCAGGAAAAGACACGCAGAAAAAACAAAATATATTATACTATTCATAAAAGTATATTTTCCAAATCAAACGTGTCCCTAGCAACAGTGAGGACCCAAACTAACATATCCCAAACCTCTCCGATATTTCCCTTTGCTTTGCAATAGCTTCAAAAAAAGATCCAAAATATTGCTAACCTGGCCTAAGGCAACCACGAATATTGCACGGCAAATCAACCACATTAATATTTTAGGTGATTATTTCAATCCTTATCATGTTAAGAAGAATTTAAGAATTATGAAATTTCAATTTTGCTAACATCAATTAACATAATCATTTCCATATTGGAAGATTTATAATATATATGTCCCTACACATTATTATTAATATATCCTCCTCATCAATATTATATTCAAAGCATAGATAATATATTTTCAATATTTCTCCTAATTATATATTAATATGTTATGAGATCTCAAGAAGTCGTAAAACCAGATTGCATGTTGAGTAAACGTGGCAGTGTGCGGTGTATGTGCGAGGGGTGTGCGGTGTATGTGCGAGGGGTGTGCGTGCGTACGTGTGACGTGCGTGCGACGTGCGTGCGACGTGCGTGCGACGTACGTGCGACTTGCGTGCGACGTGCAAGCGACGTGTGTGTGTGGGTTAACGTAAGAAAAGCCAGTGGGGAATCCAGAGACAAGAGAACAATTGACAATTAATTAGTTAGTGGCTAGTGACAATTAGTCAGTCTGTTGTTATTATTACATGATTCATGAATCATGAATCTGAATGGTCACTCTTTTGCTTTGATCGCTGCTGGAGTAAACTCTGGATGGGATGGCTGCGGCTTGGCTTCCCAACAATGCAGCTACTTCGCATGCTACATTGAAAAACAGCAAAGCTACAATCCATCAATTGCTGTACTGAACCTGCACTGCACATAGAACTCTAAGAACCGAGTTGTGAAACAAGATCCATGATCTCATCGGTTTCATCAAACTCCGATACTGTCACATATCGAATCGAACACAGCACGGACATGATGACCGCGCAAAGGACATTCCCTGCAAACCTCAAGCCACCATGCAATATGAAAGGTGACAGTCTGCATGGGCTCTAAGCCTTGATAAAAACCTCTGTAGACTTACCTTTCGCTCACAAAAGGACTGAAACAATGCATTAATGGCAGCAGTCGTCCCAATCACAATGCTCAGTCTATTGGTTTGTTTGTATACTGCTGTATATATCCAAACATATGACAAACGTTGACAAATATAGATACTCAGTTAAGTTATGAAACAATAAAAACGTACCGTATCAATCACTGGCACTGTCCAAGCGGCGCGTTTCCTGCCAAGTTTCCCAAAAGGGACTCTGAAAAGGGTTTGCCCTCGTCAATGTTGGCATCATCGTTAAGCGGGGTGTGTCCCTGTAGCGTCATCAGCTCTCTTCCAAGCACCAATCTTTGCCTTACATAGGACCATCCGATTGTCCTGGGCAGGCAAATCGGAAAATGCGTGTGTGATGTTGCATAGCGGTTTGCAGAATGGTAGCAGTCGCAGTAGTCAATGCGCCGACCCAAGCGCTCTCGCTCGTCAGAACCAAAGCCCACCACCTGAAGGAATTGCTGAAAGCTGGTATTGGTACAGTATTAGTACTAGTCTTAGTTGACACTTGAGGAACAGCATCAACTCCTTCAATAGTTCTTTTTTTGTGAACAGTTTTTTGGAGGTTACTTATTGCATTGCTCACAGGCCTCTTTTGCACGCTCTGTCAAGATCCCAAACCACTCGGACTGCCGAATATCTGGATGAATTTGTAGTGGCCACTCAATCCCGCCTTAATCTCAAGACTTTGCATGCAGGTGTGCATTATCCAATCTTTGCCTATCTAGTCTCTCTCTTTAGTGACAGTATCAGTATAGACATAGACTAGACTATCTAAGTGCATCTGCATTTTGATATCAAAACAAGCGTGACCGTGAACCTTTATATAACCATCACATCATTGCTCGGGGCTATATATACTGTGTTGGTAGTGACATCCTTGAACAAAGTGGTTTTGACTGAAGACAAAGTGACGCTTCTCGGCGACGCTCATATGCAAGGCCATCCACTTCTCCAGTCTCTCCTCCTTTTCCTCATCTTTGGACAATTTCTTGTCCCTCTCGGACTTCAGCGTATCGAGGTACTGAAGCACACGAGGGTCATCATCCGGAAGAAGGAACTCGTCCTTAGCAAAAAACACAATTATTCCTAGGCTACTAAACCTGACCTGAGAGTCATGAGTCCTGTGAGTGATGCACGCAGCACAAGATTCAGGAAAACAAAGAGTAATGATTATGATTAGTAATTTAGACTAAGTGTCATGCGTCATGGTTTAAATAATAGTTGAAGACTAATGAAAGAGAAAGAGAAAAATACAAGAGAGAGTCAGGAGTCAAGAGGACAGAAAAGGAACTATGAAAGGGCTCTATATATTGTTAAGTTATATTATTAGTTATTATATATTGATATAATAGGTGCTATAATGTATTATACTGTATAATAGTAATAGCAATAGTCAGACTCATAGTCTAGACTATACATTGACATTGTGCACTAACCAGATTCCGCTGGGGGTGCATCCATGTAGAGCTTGCCCAGAAGGTTCTCAACGCTGTTAAAAAAGTCCTCAGCAGAACAGCCTATTTCGCGATCGCCCACAGCAAGGCATACAATGTACACCCGTCGCCGAGATTGAGGTAGGCCGTACCAAAGGGCATCCAGCAAGAAACTCCGGGCAACGTAACCTCTTTCTTCCAAAGCTGCTAAGCAAAGCTGGAGATTGGTTTGCCTCCGCCGGTATTGCAACTCAAGACAGAGACTGACCCAATCTGTACAGTAATTTGACCCGTGAACATTCACTGAACGTTTGCTGCCAATTCATTAATATATAAATATATATATATTTATATTATATTATATTAACATGTTACTATTAGATGATATAAAAAGTAGTTTCGATTCAGTGATGAAATGCATGCAGTATGCAGCATGCGCGTTGCTGAACAATCAGTGACAAGGTGCGTGTCTGGGTCCACTTCGCGATCTATTGATTCCACATTCTCAAAGATTGCCCACGTGGGTCGGCTCGTGTCAACAACATCCAGGCAGGCATGAAAGGTTGTGACGCTGGCCACGTGTCCCTGAGCCACAAACAGTTAGATAAGATAAATAGATTAGATAATCAACACAAACCTGAAACAACAACCTGAAACTAAAACTATCCTGAGCTCGTTCAAGATTCTTCCGGGTCATCGTCCTTTGCTTTCTGCATGGCTGTGGCATTCTTGGTTGCATCTTTGCTAAGCATACTGTATGAAGTACAGCTGAACCCTGCACTGAAGCAAGTCAACTTCTCGGGCAAGCGGCAAGGCTTACCACAATGCATCGCGCACTGTCGGGAGCTATCGTCCAATAGTTTTGTTGCATCCTCAGTCACGGGCACGATACTAACTCAACTGGACTATTGCTAGTGAGTGAATTCCAGCTATACTACATGTTAAACTAAAGGAAACAAATTAAAACAAAAGGTGTCAGTGTTAAGTTTTAAATGACAAAAAGTCCCAAGACATACCTTGGCTATCACACCTCCTGTTAGCCAAAGAACCTTATACATGCAAAACTCGCCACCATCTGTCAGCTCTGTGAGGACCGACATGCAGTAGCGAGCTTTATTATCCACCAACTCCGAAGCAAAAGCTGGCTCCACCTGTCACTCTGATGAAAACACAACACATCTAAGTTGTCACCTCAGTGATAGTTAGTTGAGAGGTCAATCAAAGCCAAACAACAACAACCATTGCTACTTCTGCCAAATCACATGGCCGCTACACAAGCCAAATGCTTCTCGCAGTGCGATGGTAGCATGATGCAAGACCTGTTCAAACCTCAAGCCAAATGAACGATTTTGCAAAATAAATGGAAGGCCAGCACTGCCGCTACCACAACTCTACAAATCAACACCGACATCCTATGCCAGACTGAGCAGAGAAACGACCCAGTGCCAGAGCAAATGGATGCGGCAGTGAGAAGATCAGGGTGACTTGCCAAGTTGGACAGGATCTTTGAAGCAGGATCTGAATAGTGCTCTTTGCGCAAGAGAGCTGCCATGACCTGGCTGTCTTGAGTAAATTGCAAGAGCAAGTTGAAACCTAAGTCAACCCGACCCTTTGATTTATAGCTGAACCAACAACAAAAGCAACCACACATTGCACATTGAAACCACAGCTCAGTCGCTTCAGCACAGCTGGCTTCAATATTTGCCAAGTCTGGATACTGCCCACAAGCATGGTCCAGCTGTTCCTGGCAGTCTTCAAGGGAAACACCACCAGCGGATTGGAGTGTTGGCCCACCGGGGACAGGAGCAGCTGGAGCTTCTGAAGGGTTTGGTTCACGCGCGGCAGGAGCAGCTGCAGCATCTGAAGGCTTTGGCAGCTCATCGGAGGCATGAGCAGCCGCAGCTTCTGAAGGAATTGGTCCATCGGCGGCAGGGGCAGCCGCTGCCTGTGAAGAAGTTGGTCCATCGGGATCAGCCGCAGCATCTGAAGTTGAAGGGATTGGTCCGTCGGCAGCAGGGGCAGCCTCAGCATCTGGAGGTGTTTCATCTGGACGCTCTCCTTCCATGGCGGCGGCAGCAGCTGCGGCATCTTGTCCATGGGGACGAGCAGCGTTCATGGGGACGGCATCCTGCTTCTCACCACCAGAATCATCAGAACAATAGTCTCCATTCATGATGGCAGCAGTGATGGCACCTCATGAACATAAACTTACATTCAATCCATCAACAAGCAGTTGAGTCGAGTTTGTTAGTTATGTACTGTATACCTACCGATACCACCAATACAAAGACTGAGCCGACACCAGCAAAGCCACCTGCAAGCGAACACTGGCTGTCATCTTCGCGCTGGCCCTTCGGCACAGCAGCCTGCCAGTTGCCAAGATTGCGAGGTTCAGATTCATATTCATATTCATAGTCACCACATGGTTGCAACAAGTGGATCGGAGAAGGCATGTTTTCTGGTGGGGTCTTCCGAAATCTGCGAGGACACTTCTTTGGATCAAACCTGGCTGACTTGATCACTTCACCATGCCCAAACTCTTGTAAATGAACAAAGATTGACTGCTGCCCATACCTTTGAGCTGTTGCAATCTCTACATCAGCGACCACCTGTGCCTCAGCAAGAGATGAGGAGAGTGTAGCTGATGGAGGCAATGAGGTGTTCGAAACCAAGCCCTTCAACCCCTTGAAAAGAAAGGAAGCAAAACTCTCGAGATCACAAAGCCCATCGCCATCTTCATCCCCAAAGGTCCTTTCCCGTTGTTCCTCGCACTCCTCACACTCGCTGGCCCAAAAATCAGCGAACAAAGGATGCGCCTTTGCTGCTGAGAGGGCTGCTTGATACTGGTCTTCGTCAAGTTGACCAAAATCTTCACATTTCCACCCAAACTCCCACCGAGGCCATCCCAGGTTCTTCTCTACATCAAGCAGAGTTGGCAACATCAGTAGTTCCTTCTCTTTGACAAAGTTGTAGAAATTGGTCAAGTCAGCGTCGCATCCCTTACCAAAGAACCAGTCTGGGTCTGCTGCATCAGGGATAGATGTTCTTGCAAAGGTTCTGATGTACTCCGGGAACATTTCATGAGCACGTGCTTTGCGAACAGTTTGGGACCAAAGGGACTTTGATGTCATTAGGCCTGCTGCAATGGCATTCTTCTCCTCATGTTGCACCAGAAGTTTGGCTATGCAAATCTCCTCCTCACCAAAGTTGGTTAGGAAGCTGTTGAAGCGAATGAGGTGCGCTATTGGGTTCTCTTTCAACTTTTGCTCCCACTCATGCTTGTCTACGGGACTCTCTATCCGATTCACTTTCAAATAGTCTCTGAGGCAATTGTGACCTTTCATGTGTGCAATGGCCATGTCAATGTTCTGGAACTCAGGAGCTGCATTCACGCTGTTCTTCTCCTTGTCGTGGTCAATGTCCAGGTCCATGTCATTGTTCTCATTCACCATCGGCACATCCACCATCGGCACATCCGGTGGAGCCGCAAGAGTGTGCTGTTGTGACACAGCCTCATGCTGCTCATGCTTGTCATTCTGATTCTCAGTAGCGATGGGATCATCGACGCCAGACTCAACACCAATTCCGATTCCATTATCAGGAACCTCTTCCTTTGGGCTCAATCTTGGCTGCGCTGACTCAGCAAGCGATTCTGCGGCATCCTTGCGCTCAACCTTGACTGGCACTGATGTGGAAGCATCCTTGGGCTCAACCTTGACTGGCACTGATGTGGAAGCATCCAGTGTGGGAAGACCCTGCTTCTTGAGCCAAGCTTCAAACTTGTCCGCTGTCTCTTTGGGATTAAATACCCACCAGCTCTTGTTGGCAGGCAAGGCGGTTTGTTCCTGAAACCGCTTGACTTCTGGATGGATCTGAGCCTTCTGAACTCTTTGCCACTGACGTTCAAACCAAGGAGCTGATCTGGTTGCGTATGAGGCCCATGACTCAGCGATACAATTTGTTTTCCAAGCCGCAAACTCCGTGCCAATCGCGAAGGACTGGGTAAGTGTTGCCTGCGTGTGAGTCTTCCTGGCCTTGGCAGGGCCTGGTCCCTCCGGGCCTTGGCTGGGCCCAGTCTTCTTTCCCGTGGGCATCACACAGGCTGCTCAACTGTGGGTGTTGCACTCACAGGCAACGAGCAACGAGTTGTAAACTACAGTCCTTGAACAAACGTCCTCAAGAGAGCAAAACGTGAACGGTAAACGCGGTTGTTGCAGTTTCACTGTGAATGCATCCCTCGTTGCAATGCCCATCGGTATAAGAAGTACAATACAAAAGACTGTATACTGTATGGTATGTATCATGAACAAAGATTCGAGATCTGTTTTGCTGACACCCCGTTTGCTGACCTTGATTAGGCCAAGCAACTGTTGTCTTTGCTTGTGATCTAGTGATCCAGCTAACTACAATTTAATTTGATCAATTTGTTTGACCAGTAAATCAAGAGACCCCTTTGGCTCCAGAGTCCCTCAGAATCGTTTCCGATTCTGTGTGCAAGAAGTGGTAGCGGAGCGGGCAAAAAAAACCACAGAGCCCACAGCTAGACAAAGCACGCAAACAAAAACCTCAGTGTTTGCGGCTTGAAGAAAGAGGGCCAATGCCACTGGCACACTAGAACCCGGTCAATACTGTCAATGCTTAACAGCAAAAGTAACTCATTACTCATTACTCATCTCATCTCAATGTAACTGTGTTAACTGTGTGCCCCTACTTGGCCCGGAAATTCGCATGGCGCCATCTTTGTAGGCACCGATTCCTTCATTTTGTTCCCCTAGACCTGGACCTTTCACGATCCTCAGCCGTGTTCCCCTTAGTCTTTGAGGCAGCTTGGATCTTTCTTGATAGGTCTTTCATTTTCTTCACAATGCATTCTGGTACATCCAGATCTGCAACAAAGCCAATCGTTTTGTTCACACTCTCAAGCAAGTACTGGTTCTTGTTTTCAGCGGCTTTCGATACCAAGATCCTTAGACAGGTAGTTGTGATCGCCACTGAGAGGAACCGGCGCACTTCCTTTTCAGCAAAGTCCACTTCAGGCAGCAACTTCGTGACAGGAATCCTGAACTCCTGTGCGGCAGTCTTCACTGTCTTGAGATGCTGCTCCATCTTCTTGATGATGATGCCAAGGTTGCTGTGTCTATTGTTTGCTCCCATCGCGTCAACAAAGTCCCGTTCTGTCCCGTCCTCATATGTTGGAAAGGGCTCAAGCGCTGATGCTGCCACATGAAGCTCCTTCCAAATGCGACCGGAATCAGACACGGCACCATCAAACTGGCTGTTCAGGTTCGATCGCAGCTCCTCCTGGGCCAATGGACTAATCAATCGAGGAACTCAGCACTACAGCTTGGAATTCAAAGTTTCTAGGAACGACTGAGCCGATGAATACTATCAGCGGCTCACAATCAGACTCAACAAATCAAAATATAAATACGAGGCTCCATGAACGTGAAGAACTGTCGCTGGGAAGGCAAACGGCGTTCTGTGGTACCACCTGACTCACCCTCATCAACATTGCCATCGCTGGATTTGCCAAAAAATGTCAAGGAACTTGAGCCAGTGTCAGAAGTGCCCTCTGGCCACAGGATGCGATAGATGCGAGTAGCCACTATCCTGGGTCCGGATTCAATTTGTTTTGGAAACGGTGAAGTCGGAATACTAGACTTTACTAAGGATACTGTTTTATACTATGCTATAGAGTAATGAGTGATGAGTCATATCATATTATCATATTACTATATTTATAATCATAAACAGTGTACATAAGGATCACCATGCTATGCCAAGACGCTGCAATTGGTCTTCCGGAAAGTCACCGACATTAGTCCGGATGCAGTCGTCCTTGCTGATCAACTGTAGATCTTGGAAGAGCTCGAAAATGTGCCGGGCACTCGCGGGGGATTGATCTTCAAAGGACCTCTCGGTATACTGGAAGAGGTGTTCCAGAAAGGTCGCCGTCTCCGCTAGAGACTCACGATCATCACCTGAAAGGCCAGTCACCAGAAGCTTTGTCTCAGACACTGCTTGCAAGGCTTGCTTAAGCAGGCTCCTTGTTCCGTCAGTGACAATCTCATTTGCCTGCATAGTTACCATGTGTCCAAGGACATTTCGAGGAAACCCCATGGCGTCATTCCAAATATTGCTGCACCAGTGGGAAACAAGCTCATTCAATCTGGCAGATGTCTCATTGGTAGCATCATTAACACTTGGAAAGGTGCAAACCATTGCATTTGCTCGCTCCTGCCACTGCTTGTATGACTGGCAAAGGCGTACCACTGCTTCTCGTGTCCTGGAAGCTGATGATTCCCCAGCTTGTCTCAACAGGATGTCTGTCTCCTCAGCAATGGCACTGCAAGACACATGGAACATTTCTATGTCGACGAAAGTGGCGACTGCACCCTCCCCGAGCAATTTCTCCATGAGTGGCTTCAGGTTCATACAAGAAGATGCTGGAGGCTTCGACATGATCCTGGAAGACTTCAATGTCTTGCTCTGTGTAAGCAACCAAGGCCCAAGCTCAGTAAGACAATAGTGCGTGGAAATGTCCTTTCCAAAGGACATGAGTGCACTCTCAGCTGATGAAAGTGCACTTTGCATTGCGGAGTCTGGCTTCTGAAGTCCTTGGGTAGCCTTTACCTTTGCAGCCTTGAAGTTGGAGTGCACTTTTGTGAAGTTCTTGACAGCTGAATCAACTGTGTTTCCTGAAAGAGCGGTAGTGAACTGCTCGCAATCTGTTTTGACCTGGGCAAGGTCATGACACACGGATTGCAAGTGAAGTCTGCCCTCTATGGCTTCTTCACATAGGCTCATCAGTTTCTTGCCCTGTGGAAACCCTTTGAACGATGCAAGAAGAGGCCGGTTCTCTGCCTTGATGGTTTCAATCGCTTCATGCACCTCTGTTGGTGGTGAAGACTTTCCATTGGCTACATTCTTGAGGATGGCAAAGTCGTTCTTCATATTCTCACCCTCCTTGTCAGAGCATATCATATTAGCTGCCATACAGTCCAGGAAGTCTCTCAATGGTGCCATCTCATCTACGGAAGGGTCAATGGACACCTCAAGGGTAGAACGCGTTGCGGACAAAGGACATAGATTCAACACTATAAATTCAGCATGCAGCATATATTATATAATCAATTATATTATTATTAGTGGAAAGGAATCATATCGTATCGTATCTCATATCTAGTAAACTATTGAAGTTTCTATTTATAGCGAATGATGACTCATGACATGACTCTAACACAATCAATATCATTCGATCAATCCCAAGACACCTTGTCTGGCGCGATTCCTTTGAGAAGCCTCTGCAGATTGACTACCAGCTGCTGGCGAAGGAACTTGAATGAATCAAACGTTTTCGATTCCGGAATCATGGTCTGCACATAGCTGAAGGTTGTTGTGAGCATCCCGCTGAAGCGGAGGTACTTCAAGTCATCTGCCCATAGCATCCGAGCAACCCGTTTCAAAGTCTCCTCACCAAGCTTGGCACCGTTCGAAGTCAATGAATCGACTTTGGCCATGTAATCATCCGCAGGAACGGAGGCCTGCTTGACAAGGTCTTTCAGAAGGTTGATGAAGTGTAGGATCAGCAATTCCTTCTCATCGGCTTTCTCAATTGCATCTCGCCTATTCTCTTCAGACCTTCTTTTGTAGAGACGCTTTCTGGACCTCACTTTGCCCAAGGTGACATTGGCCTCTTTCATTCTCTCAGCAGCATCTGCCTTGAATTCAGCTTCCCCAGAGCGAGCTGCCTGAAAGTCAAGCAATGTTGCAATTTCATCATCGATCTCATCAAGCCATGTCTCATCTTGCTCAAGCATGGCAGTGGTGTTTCTAGACCTGGCTTTCAACGGATCCAAATTGACCACGTCAGCATCCTTGCCATCCTTGCCGTCCTTGTCCTTGCCCTTGGGCTTTGTCGCTTTTCTCTTTCCAGCTGGTGATGAGGCTGCGGCAGCCTTGGCAGCAGCCTTGGCTGCAGCAGCAGCTGCAGCAGTAGCTGATGCCTTGGATGGCGCTGCACTCTTGGCTGCTGCAGCTTTGGCTGACGCTGAGGACTTTCTGTTTGGACCTGTTGCTGTTGAACGGATGACAGACTCAAACCTTGATGTAAAAGCAGAGTCTTCATCCATGGCTGCTGAAGTGGTATTCGCAGCGGTCTCTGCAATGGATGGTGTTGGGGCAGCTGGTGCAGGCGTAGTGGAAGCTGCTGGGCCGGAATTGAAGCCATCGTCCAAGAGTCCATCCAAACAGTTGCCAATACCAAGGAGGGCAGTTGCACGATCCATGTTTGGATCATTGAGCGGGGCTTTGCTCCGGCCAGAGAATAGCAAACCCACCATATGCTTCTCGGTTTTGTCAGCTAGACCATCAGTCAGCGCTGGGCCATCTTTGTCAGAGTCCATAAGCCGATGGGTCCTCTTCACACCCGTGGTGGTCGTGCCTTCAACACGGTAGACACCACTTTGGCCATCCTCCCAAGCCATCTTCCATTGCCGTCCTGCCACCGTCACCTGGGTTATAATGAGATAGTGATAGTGAGATTATAAAAAAACATATAATATAATATAATATAAACATATAATATATAATATAATTAATCATAAGAACTGCAAGATAAAACTATTGTTGTTTGTTGTTGTTGTTGTTGTTGTTCCATTGGATGCCGGGCCACACCAATGACAGTATTTCCGTGGAACATCTTCTCCGTCATTTCACTCTCTGCTGGTGCTTGACCAGTCATTTGGTGGTATGTGTTCACCTCCACAAAGAATTGCAATGCTGCTGTCAGACCTTCGGTATGCTCTGTGATAGCCTCCAGAATCCTCAGCTGACACTGCAAACCCAATCTCCATAGTGGTAAAGACAAGCCCGGAAGCTCGGAACTAACAAAAACAGTTGATTGAATTGATGCAGGTTTCTCACGTGGGCCTAATTGCTCGGAGGATCTAATCCTCATGTTCGGATTCTGAATCTTCAATTCAATCAGCACGGTCCGTTGGCGCAAGAACCTAGGTGAAACCGCGAAGCGTTGTCGTTGTTGGATTGAAAGTTCTTATAGGTGAAATAATGTAGTATGAAATGCGGAAAGGGCGCGCATGCAGTCGGGTGGGATGGGCAGAGAAGAACACGGAACACTTCTTAATTCCGCCCCCAACTTCAATCTCCCACCCGCCAGCAACAATAACCTTGGATCAGCGCAAAGACAAACAGGTGATTGTGACACAAGACACTATTAACATGTTTCCCTTACATCACCACAGGATAGCACAGGCCAGCAACGATTGCACAAGGCAGGCAGGTGCATCCTCGGGGGCTTTCACGACAACCACCATTCCACGCTAGTAGGGGCCACCATCTGTCTGCCTTACGATCTTTTGGTTCCCAAGGACATGGGCTGGTCGACCACTCACCACAGAATTGACACCTCATTGCCACATATTCAGCCGGTTTGTCAAAGGAGGCAGGTGGGTCTGGCGCTGTGGCAGACATGGCGACTGACAGTTGCTCTCGAAAGGCTTTGCTTGGCTCAGGAAAATTCTCAAACACAAAAAGAGTGGTTTGGACATGTCAGCAATGTGCATGCCCATTCAGCATGTGAAATCATACACCTGATATACTGCATGCACAAGTTTCAGATCTCCACACGCACACACCAATGTCTCACCCTCGCTCGCCCGCCCACACACACACGCACACACACACGCACACATGTCGTGCACACGCACGCACACACGTACGTACACGTACGTACACTCGTACGTACACGTATGTACACATGTACACACACACCACGTACAAAATTAGCAGCTACTGGTATCTTTTATTTTTGAGCATGTACAGTCTCTCAATATTACTTTAGTCTACAGAGAAAAAAATAGCAGATACTGGTATCTCTTATTTTTGTACATACATTGAACGTGCATTGAACGTGCATTGAACGTGCGATGAACGTGCGATGCACGTGCGTGCGTGCGACATGTACATCATACACAGTATACATGATGTGATCATCAGCCACTCAAGCAGCACCGAGCGGAACCACCGTTTTCCATCCCCAACATCGGTCAAGTGTACCCTGCACTCCACCGTTGATCTTCCCAAAGCCCGCTGAGCTTTCCCCTTGCAAATTAAGCCGCTGCTATTGCCTCAGAGTGTTTGTTGGAAGCACACACATGTAAGTTGCTGTCATGAAAAATGAACAAATAGAGGCAATAGATGCACTTGAAAAAAATAACAAAGGCACGTGAAACAAGGTCCTGTGGGCAGCTGCGTCTGTGCGGTTAGGAACCCGGTCAGGTCCAATGAAGAGCCACTGCATCAGCATGTCATATGTCAGGTGTCCACGAGGTGCAAAAGCATTAGCCGTCTTGAGGACGCTGCAGTTGGTGTGATGTTGGCAACGTACTGCTATAGAATGGCCTTTCTGCCCTTTGCGCACTTCAGTGATACGTCCTTGGACATAACAGTGATCCTTTCATCATCTCCCTAGGTCCCTATACTATACTTTCCTACCCAAAGAAAAAATTTCAAATCAATCCAATCCACCCAAATATGTTGTTGGTCCGTTGACAATACTTTGCTTCCAAACATGTCCTTCCTCATCCATAAAGTAGGGCGGCTCTCGATGTTCCTCTGTGTGCATCCTGCCGGTGCCTGAGCTGTCCGCTGCTGAAGATGATGCCGACGCCGATGGCGCTGTTGCATGTTGCTGCTTCTTTGCTCGTTTGCTGCTCCATGCCGCCTCCTACAGATGTTGTGTGGATGAAAGCGAATCACTATCAACCCATATTGTTAGAAACACCATATTTTAGCCTAGTTTCTGAATCCGACTATGTGTAGTAGTAGCAGTAGCAGTAGTAGTAGCAGCAGCAACAGTAGTAGTGTTAGTGGTAGTAGTAGAATAGTGGTAGTGGTAGTGGTAGTGGTAGTAGTGGTGGTGGTAGTATTAGTAGTTGTTGTTGTTGTAGTTTCAGAGAAGTAGGCTATGAAGCTAGGTGTAAGCTTGGGCTTCGTCGTTCTCGCCTCTTTACTTATTATTACTTATTACTAGTTACTAATTACATTACAGTTTAGTTTGTCTATATTAATATTTTATATAATATAATAATATATATATATTGTTTTATTAATTATACATTAACATTGCTTTTGATTGGTAGCAAATAAGCAGAACTTTTTTGCACTTCTTATCACTTAACGTATCATATAACAACCACTGCTATTATATTTCTTTCTACTAGAACTAGAATGAATGCTGCACTGTGCCTTCGTATCCTTCTTCTGATTCTGTTCCACTGACTGAGCAACATCTGGTGGCATGGAAGCTAGGTCACATGTCCATGCTGAAGTATGCCCCAAATGCCGATCTCTGGCAAGAAGCCATTCCCGCTGCAGCTCAGCCAGCTCTGGGTCTACATGCTCAAGCTCACCTGGTTATGTGATGTGCTTGTTTGTGCATCCACACAAAGCAGGACCCATTAGCACATTAGCACATACTGTCACATACTCTACAGCATCTATGAGTCTATGACTCTATGACTATGACTCTGCCTCTATGTCTTATTTGCAAAGTCTTAAGCCCTCACACTGTATGCATAGATTCCATGGAAATAGTAGTAGTAACCACTGTTACTGTAGTAATTAAAAATAACATGAATCATGAATGACAATAGTACTGTAATGCATTGCTACACAAATGTATTGAACTTCACCACGTAGCTGGACGCCTGGTCATGATATTAAATACGCTGTACTAATTCTCAATGAATCGAATGTTTTGGTTAATTCATGTTACCTGCCATGTATTTTGCTGTCTTCAGCTGAGACGCTTTTTGGTGGTGCTGGTTTCTCGCTTTTGTGTCCCCCTCCTGCTCGACCACGTGTTGACTGCTGCTTGGACCGCCGTTTCGACTGCTGCTTGGACTCTGTTTTTTGTTCTCCCAATAGCTCATCCACCAAATTGGTAAGATCCTCAAGCTCATCATTTGGCCCGTCCTAATCTTCATTAGCGTCATCCTGATCACCCTCGTTGTCATCACCATCACCATCATTGTCGTGGCCGACGAGGCAAACTGGAGTCCATGTCAACTGATTGGCAAGATGCAAAGAAGTCAGTTGTCCCCAGGCAAGGGTGTACTGGGGCTGAAAGCAATATTCCAGCCTGCCTGTGCCAGAAGGTCCCACATATGCCGTGTGGCTTTGCGCGATGTCAAATGCAATTCTGTCCATACTCGCAAAACAGAATGTGGAAAGCACCGACTTGAAGATATTGGCCGATTTCAACCTCACATCGCAAGGAGGCACCAGCGCACCAAGGTCCGGCAGTTCTAGCTCAATGCCATCCACACGCAAAGGACGAAAACCGGCTAGAGACAGCACCCATCCATTGCACGCAAGAACTGCCCCTGTCTCCTTGCAAACAGATTGGACAAGGAGCACAGGGTGCCGAGTGGACGGTGAGATTTGCTTCGTAATCTTCTTGTATAGTGGCTGCAAACTTCTGCAAATGTTCAACATAAGGTTCCTTGTGGATGAAAACACGAGCTGCGAGTCGGCGCTTTGCCCTGAAAGACACCTTGCTCTGCAAAAGCTGAGGCATAGGGGTTTGCCCTTCTTGAGAGGCAAGTCAGTGTCCCCACAGTCAGTGATATCAGAATGCGCGTCACCCCACATTTGGTTCAGCCTGTCACTAAACCCAGGTTGGTCAGCAATGGCAGTGAAAAGCTTTTCTTCAATAGGGTATTGATGATCGCCAAGTCCACAATGCCCATAACCGCTTGCAGCTGCATCTCTTTCTGGAGCAACATTAGGGGCACACCTGTGCTGACTGTTGCCTGTCCTTCTCTTCTTGACAGCTTGCTCTTTGCAAGCATCCCGTGTCTCTTGCTCCTCCTTAAAAGATTGCGACTGGACACAGTCATGTCATACGTTGCTTCAGAGTGTCTTAAATGCTGAACTGAATAACTATAACTCAATCACTTTACTGTTTCGCAATATGAACACCACTGTTCTGAATTTCCACATCATTGGTTACGCTGCTGCACTAAAACCTGCCATTGAGTGCTGTGAGTAGCTACATGTAGTTACATACTTCTTACCAGAGATACAAGGGCCTGTCTGGAGACAATATGTCACTGCTAAAACACTAGTTATAGAGTTATAGTCTGAGTCTTAGTTGAGTTATAGTTTATGCTAATGCTATGTTACAGTTATAGGAACTGCAGTACTATGTGTTTGCTGATTTGACACCACAATATTCCGTTTATGGCAATATGGCAATATCGACACCAACACCAGTATGCGTGCCACAATGCCTAGGGATGATAGTCAGTATAGTATGGCCAAAGTGTTTGGACACACTATGTACTGTGCGTGATGTTTGTGCCAGTGTCTCCTACGGCTTGCCATCGCAGTCTTGGCTGACTAACAAGACATGAATTGCACGTTTGCTGCTCCCTGCTCACGTTTTGCTGCAACCTTGCTGGCGCTGTACAGCTAATCCTACAAGGAGGTTCACATACACGAATTGACATGATTCATGATATGATATGAGTGCTGATTTCACTGTAAGCGTCGCTCTGTCACATTGCACATATCGCTGGGTGACACTTACACTTGTAGGTGTACTGCAGGTGGTACTGGTATACGGTATACGGTGTATACATACACACGCAGTTATTGTTTATCAACACTGTTCTTGTCGCTTCAAACGCCTGAGCGTTGACTAAGTGCAAGTCCTTCCAAGTCTCCTTTGCATGAACACGCACTCGCTTCTCAAACTCTCCCTTGACTTCCCCTGGGTTTCTCGCCAGCAACACTCTTGTGTTGGCCACGTGCTGAAAGAATCCAAAGTTTCCTCGCGCACGCTTTCGCTTCTGACCATGTGATTTTGCACTTGCTAGCGCCTGAATGCCCTTGGTGATAGCCTGGTAGTCTGTATCCCGTCGTTGCGCTTGCTGTGGACACTGTTGCCATGGACACAGCTCAGAAGCAGAAAGGTCACGCTCTATGCCTAGAAGAGCACCCATGATTGTACTGTCACGATGATCAGCATTATCATCGTCATCGTTTGATCCATCATTCCCTGATGGTGCCTGATCCAAACCCTGAGGCAACAGACCCGTAAGTAAGACTGGACTCCAGGCTGGGGGCTTGATACGATCGATGCACTTCAAATCAGGAAAGCGCTTGTCCACCGCTGTGGTACGACATGAAGGTAGTTGAGCAACTTGAGCAACATGTTCCTGCTTGAGCTCAGCAAGCACGTGCTTGCAGCAATTTGTCGAGAGGTTCACAGGCTTTCCTGACAAGGATGCTAAGTAGGTGCATACAGTCTCCCATTACCGGGTAGCCTGTGTAAGTTCAAGACTCCAAGGCATAGTCTATGACTATGGAACTTCAAGTCGTCTTTAAGACTAATTACTAATTACTAATGACTAGCCTATGACTAGACTAAGACTATGGCTCATGACTCTGACTCTGACTGTGAGTGAGTGATAAACAGATCGTCTATGGTCTTCAGTCTAGATTGTTTTGTTTGGGCTTCAGTGAAATTTGCTTACTCTTGCCTCTTGACTGCTTGGTCTGATAGCATCCCCAAACCCTCTCCTCTTGCCAGCTTTGCTACAGAGTTGGCACGTGCAAAATTGTCTTCAATCTCCGCATTGATAATCTTTTGGTGAGTCAGCAAAGTGACTATGGGGTGTAGCTTCCCGCCTTCCAATAGAACTGTTGGGTCGTCTATAGCCCGCTGCTGCAGCCGTGCTCCAAAGCCCTCATCTAGACAACAGCTTTTAGCACGCCGAAAGTCAAGAAGAATAGACTCATGTTCTTCTTGGCTAAGACGGTTGTCAGCAAGAGCAGCCAGTTTCCAAGGGAACGCTTGATGCGGCTCAATTAGCCTTCTCCACAGCTTGGTTGCCACATGCAGTGTACAGAAGAAGACAATGCCAAGACACAAAGGTTCATGTTCATGTTGTTCATCGCCATCATTGCAAGCACTTGTGTCCACACCACTCCCTTGAAGGCCTCGATGTAGAGGTTACAATGACTCATGCCTCCTGACTCGTACATTACATGCTTACATATGTGTGTTACATACGTTACATACGGTTGAAGCGGACTATGAGTCAGAGTCATAGAATCATAGAGCCTATTAGCCGAATAGCCTAGCCAATAGCCTTAGCCTAAGCCTATTAGTCATAGAGTCAGAATCACAGCTAGTAGCCTATTAGTTAGTAGTAAGTAGCCTATAGCCTAGCCTATATACTATAAGTTACTATAAGTTTAACAGTCAGAGAGGAGTCATAGAAGTAGTCATAGTCTCAGTCATAGACATAGACTCATAGACTCATAGTCATAGTTACAGTCTTATTCAGAGTGCTCATATTGCAGCATGCTCCTTGTTTTGCCCGCACCGCAACGAATGAGTCTTGAGTTGCTTTGTCATAGTCATAGTCATAGCCTTGTCAATTATGAAATGATAATTGCTGACCTCTATTGCATGTGACATGTCGCATGTGGTTTCAATTGCATACATAATAATATATATCATTATTTATAAACTATATTTACAATAATCATCTCATACATGAGTCGTGAGTCATACAATGTTTCCATTTGGTTAGTTTCATGTGAAAACATTAAAAATTGGCTCGGACAACAACCAGGGTTCCATCAAAGAGTGCAAGCCTGCCAGATTTGCCGTCATGCAAGAGGTGAAACAGTGCATCCACACACTTAGCCGCAGGACTGTAGCGTAGTGTTGCCAAGGCCACCAGCGGCCTTTCTTGTGGATCCCTGTGCAGCCAGGTTTGGTGTGACTGCCCTTTTAGAAGCCACGCTGAAAGATGCCCAACATGTTCCGTGCACACAACTGCAGCAAGAATCTCACACGGTGTCTCAATTCGCTGTAACCAGGCTAATCCTTTTGCAGCTCGTACGCCCTGCACTTTTGCTACTGGTATATCTGATGCCGTGAAAGATGCAGATGCTACATCTTCAGGCTTTGCTATGATTTCTCCATTCCCATCAGTTTCACAGCCTGCAATGTCGCACATGATTGAGGAGAGCAGCTGCAAAATAGATCCTGCGTCCGCAGACTTGCCTGCACCCTTCTTGTCTGGTTTGCTGAAGAGCTGCGCAAATGCCTGCCCCAACAGATTGTGGCAAGCTATGCCGAGCCTCAGCTTTCCGTCTACAGATTAATTACAGCATATAGGTTGTACTATTGCATGTTTACACCTTGCCACTATATGGTTTGCATTGCCGCTGTAGATCTACTTCGCCCAGTACTGAAAATACCATACAAATCCAAATACGTGACAGGACTTGACGGTTCGGTGCCTTATGTGTGCTGTATGTAAAATGTGGAGTGAATGAGGGCTTTCCACATGCTGATGGCAACATGAGGAATTGAACCGACAATGACAATCCATCCAATGCGCAAGGCAATATGACAATGCCCCTGACTCTGACAATGATGATGAAACCTATAGATTATGGATTATGGATTATATTAAAAATTACAGTGCAGTTGCAGTTACAGTCACAGTTTTATTGATACTGTGACGGTACTGATATTATCACAGTAGTGATAATGGAACAGTGAAACCGTGGCCGATTAGCAGCAGTGCACACTGCACAGTAACCTAGATGCCTGAACACTGAATATTGCATTTGGAAATTGGGCTGTGGTCACGCAGCAAGAAGCAAAAACACATAGAAAGCAGGCGCAGCATCTATAGAGTCGGGTTATTTGCTATCGATTGATGACAATGACCATGCTACAAAAACCACTCTGTTTGCGACCCATGAGTAGTGATTCATTCAGACCATGGCCCATAGGCCCATAGGCCCATGGCCCATAGGCTACATAGGTATTTTTACTATGACTCTGACTCAGATGATACCATACTTCCCGGGTCCATGCACATGTCACTGCCTCCAATGCTACATGTTTACACGCCTCACGTTACATGTTCTTACCATGGCCACCATGCGAAACCAGGTAGCAGAAACCAACGTGCAGTATCAGCGCATCTAAGCCAACGATTCAGCGCCGGTATTCTGGGCCGTGAGCTCATCACCATCTCCATGAACAAACTCGTTGCAAGTTCAATAAGCTTTGTTTTGCTTCCGCCGCATTTGCAAAAAACACTGCAGTGGTGCCACAACGTCCCCTCCTTCCAGTCACCATTGAATATATCGCAAAACAGCTCCATACGCAGTCTCTGACTCTGTGACAGCATGGCTGGGGCGCTGTCAAGCTTCTCATCTGCTAGCTTGAAGGTAATCTCCAACATTGACATAGCATATTTCCTGTATGTCGGATTTGGTGGGTCATGACGGACCTGCAAGCTTGACCGAATGATAGCTAGCGCTTGAAGCATCAAGTCCATGAATGTTTGCCCATAGGAGACAACATTTGCCATACAAAACCTGACTTGAATAAATCAAATCCATTTGGCCAAGTCTGTGCAAAAAGTGAAAGGAAGGAACCTTGCTGCCCCTGCCAAGAAAAGGTTATTAAACCGCAACTTGACAGTCAGCCGTGCAACATGGAGTTCAATCCTGTACCACGCCAAACCGTTTCCACAGTATGATGCGCCTCGTGCCTGAGTCATCATCGTGTCACAGGCTAAATGAAAACTGTCCTGGAGCCTATTTGTTATCCACGGATTACTTTCTCTCCATGAGAATCTGTTTAAAAGGGTTCTCGATGTTTGTGGCTACCCACCCTGACAAGAACTCTACGCTGTCCAAGATACATAAAGCAAGGATGATGGATAAACAAGGTGTTCGGAGGCAGCTGACTTTGAACCCACTTGATCATCTTCAGATTCGCCGGCGCGCAATCTGACACTAGCGTGAAGACATAGAGATCAAAGGCGGAGGCCCATCCTGATTGAAAGCTGGAATCCATCGAAATTACAATCAGAGTATAGTCATAGTCAGAGTCATATGAGTCATATGGTCATATATATGTCATATGATATATGTAATATGTAACATGTAGGAAAGGCTAATTTTTACTAGCTTTATAGTAATACATTTGTTTGAAATACTTTTCTTTTGTAGTTGCACTCTATTAATGTGTCAATAGATAATTGGTTTGACATAGTATTTGATGAAACGCTGTTGATATATTTAAATCTAGTTTGACTGACACTGAATAGGGAAGTATACCGTACACTGCTGGACTGCTTTTCCCACCATGTTCATTTCAGTCATGTCTTGCGATCGCTTGACTGGAATTGTTTAGCAGTGGTTCAACAGTACCAGTGAATTGGAGAATCTCATTGGTTATATGTGCAATCCCAGCGGTCTATGCGTTTATATGTTATGTATATATGTTTTTCAATTTGAGGTGCTCAGTGGGTGCACAGGCTGCTTGCAGCAAATTGCTTTCCAAATTCCAGCTGCAGTTGCTCGACGTAGAGCAGCTGGACAAATGACCAAGGATGAATACCTTGGCCAAACTTCAGTCTTCTGGTTGCGTGTGCCACACCAGCAAACATTGATTCAATTGCACTGAATTCAGCTTTCCGATTCATTAAAAAGTGGTTCAACAACAATTTGTTTCTGTCACATGTGACATGTGACACGTGTGTCTGAAATGATTGCCCGAATCTGCGTCTCATACTCAAGCATTCTTTGTCCCGTTTCCAGCGTCGCAACAGGCCAAGAGTCTTAGCTGAGCCAGAGCCTTCCACCGCCAGCAAAGTAGAACGCTGCACCTGACTAGGCACAAGATGCAACTCCCATTTCAAGTAGCTAATTGAGCGGCAAATCAAAACCCTATCAACCCGAGCCCGTTGGTCATACCTTGTCATGTAACTTGTGTCAACGCCAGGTCTCAGCACAGTTCGGAATCGTATCACTACCCATGGTGTCCATGCCGTTAAAACCGCATCCCACTCCATTCATATAGCATAATCATATGCCGCTGCCGATAAACATCATGTACACGTGGAAGCTTGTCAAAACATGTTCAAGCAAGCGACCATTACACTGAAAGAGGCTTCCACCACTCTTTTCTCTGATCCGTAGCGCAATCTTTGTAACTGGCTGGTCTCGTCAAACTCAACCACCAATCGCCCAAAGCGAAGGGTCTCTCCATCAGGGTGTCGACCCTAAATGCAACAGCGTCGCAAAACTTGACGTGTGGCAAATTCCAAGCATTGCCAATCACAGGCTGCATCAATGATGCTTAACTTGATGACAAAGTTTATGTCATTCACAAACCAGAGCAGCTAATCAATTTTCGTTACATCGATTGATAAGTTAAGTTATAGCCTATGCCTATGGCCTATGACTCATGACTCATGACTCTGACCCATGCCTTGCCTATGCCTATGTCCATGTCCATGTCTATATTTATGTAGTGGGTCTGTTTGTTTAGTTCAAACGGTGTTTGTTTGTTCTTCAACTCAGATTCATTTGCCAGCCAAAGCTCACTTTGCAACACTGCGTCGCAATAAAGCCGTTGGCAGTGCATGAACATGGCTGCAATTGCATTTTGTGCCTCAGCTGCCAATCAATAAAATGGCTACTGACTTCTCAGGAGCGAGAAAGCAGTGCAAGTTCTGGCTACCTTAGGTGTCTTCAAATTTTACCTGCCATCATTTTAACTACCTAGTGGTCCTCATCCATCATTTGCCTCCAAACACTGATTCAAGTGTTTCCATTGAAGTCAAAAATACGGGTCTAGCCTACTATAGACTCTAGACTAATTACAATTATATTGAATATATTAATAGAGTCTATAATAGAGTAGTATATTATGCAGTATTGGACAGGCATTATAGAAAACATGACCTAAGCCCCCAATTGTTGCGACCAGCTGATATTCACAGCTAGACCCAACAATGCATGAGCCATGACGCCTTCCCAACCATGCCATGACTGCCTTCCATCCAGTAAGCCACGGTCCGCAGCGCCATAGAAGTTATGGATCTTGTGGCAAGACTGACACTCTTCTGCAAAGCGCTGGAGGACGCCCATCCAAACCTGGGCATGTCTTTGAGCCGAGCTGGTTTGTGGTGATTTATGATTCATTCTTCACGGTTTGTTCATGATTCAGTGGGTACCTGGTGCATTACGCTCATGGCGGGGCAGTTAGATTAAGGTTGAAGGCAATACCGGCAATACCTCCCAGAGTGACTAAAGTCAGGAAGCTCGCGCAGGCTCTATGTAATGTGTCATGGAAAATATTACAAGCATTGATTAGGCTAGAGTATGTACTGTACCTGCGAATGATTTTAGGACAATCCATAGCATTCACATCATTATATAATGCTATATAATAAGTTACAATGCTATTGGCTATTGCATTGGCTATTAAACATTAAAATAAAAGAACACGAATAAAACTACTACTATTGTTGGGATTAAACTTTATAAAATAGCTATTGCTAAGTTTAAGTTATGGTTCTAGTATAATCTAGTCATACAGCATGTATACACTCTAGTATACAGTCAGTATCAGAACCGTAGCCATAGCACAGCAGTGCGATACTGGAATCCCAATAGCCAACAACCATGGAGTCATGAGGACCAATCATGACAAACAGTAATTCATCATGACGACGACCTTGTTCATTGAAATGCCATCATATTTGCAAACAAAGTTGATATCTTTGATACCATTGCACATCATTCATGTCAAATCATATCATGTGAGTCATATCATATCATATACTTGCCATCGAGTAGACAGTGAACACGGTATGGCCCATAGCATAACTTAACCAATTAATTACTACGCTAGAGTCATGAGTCATGAGTCTATGAGACACTATGACTCAACATGACTCAACTATGACGAAGACTATGGCTACGACTCGACTATGAGACTCTGTAACTTACATGTCCCTGCATCTTGCAATCAAAAGACGCTGCTCGAAGAAGAGCTGAAGGCAACCATTTCTTGTGTTGACCTTTGCCAGAGGCCCTCCCAACATCGCATCGACGCACAGCATGGTCCTGAATGTAACGCTGAGCCAGTGTCCTAGGCCACAAGTTGAAGATTGACTCATTCGGCCTACTGCTCACCCATTGCTTTCCTCCAAAATAATTCTGGCCTTCACTCCTCTATAATTCTACTCTGTCTTTCCAAACTATTGAATCAAATCAATCAAATCTATGAGCTTAGTATATAGTCCATGCAGACTCACCCTCCTTCCAAATTCCAGGTCCAAATTTTGTGCAAGTGGCGCTGCCACGCCAACAGTGCTGTCAGGGATGCCCACAGCTGTTTCATCCATGGCTCGTGCAAAGTAAGGGCGGTGGCACGATTCAAAAATCTGTCTGGCAGCGGTCCACCTTCTTTGTTCGAGTAGCCGTGAGAAACTACATGCGAGCTCATTCCTTTTTGGCTTTTAGAGTTGGTTTTCACGTGCTACATTACATGCTACATTCATCTCTTTCTCTCATGGCTGCAGCTCAAACCACAATCAGTAGAGGGCAGAGCAAAGCATCTACTGTTGGCTGCTCTTAGCGCCAGCACCACAGGTTCTTAGATACGAGTTCACTGTTCAGACACAACGTGTTACACACTGTCGTGCTCACACCGTTAACTTGTTAACGCATCACTCGAAGCATGACTCGAAGCATCGCTCGCAGCATGGTCGGACATGCAAAAGGACACCTTCTCATCACCATTTTCATTCCACGCTCGCACCGCCCTCGTACCACGCTCGCAACTCGCTCGCGCCACGTTCGTACCACGCTCGCAACACGCTCGTATCACGCTCGTAACACGCTCGTATCACGCTCGCAACACGTTCGTTTCCCCAAAACAGAGCCACGTACATACAACAGGGTATTTTTAATGACCCCAGGTTTACGATGTCCTGGGACCACTTAATTAATATGTCCTCGTCCCAAATTCCAATTACAATAATTCAAAATCATAAAATTTATCGATGTTCTCCAATATCCACTAATATAACCGTGTCCATTTAAGAAAAATAGAATTTATATTTTTATTCCTACGGTATATTACTAATATATCCTCCTTTCAAATACCATTTATATCCTTTCAATATCTATCGATTAATATTATTCTAAAAAAATAAGTAAAAAATTCGAATGATCCCCCGCCATGACATTTCAATCATTTGTCTTGATGCCATAGTAAGGAGCATGTTGCCATAGTCGTCAATATTGTAATTCTCGATATTGCTTGTGGGTCCTCGGGTTGTGTGTTGTGGTTGTGTGTTGTATTGTGGTTGTGGTTGTATATTGTGTTTGTGTGTTTGTGCTTGGGTGTTTGTGGTTGTGTATTTGTGGTTGTGTATTTGTGGCTGTTCCCCAAACAGTTTACTGTTAGGGGTTCTCAATGCTTTAAAGAATGGTCGCCTTGGTGCTGGATGGTCTGGTCGGGTTCCCGGCCGGCTTGTCTCCCACTTCCTTTCATTTGTCTCCCAGTTCTTTTCATTTGTCTCCCAAGCTGGGTGCTTGTGGTCGGGTTCCCGGCTGGCTTGTCTCCCACTTCCTTTCATTTGTCTCCCACTTCTTTTCATTTGTCTCCCAGTTCTTTTCATTGGTCTGGGTGCTTGTGGTCGGGTTCCCGGCTGGCTTGTCTCCCACTTC